CATAACCTGCCCCATCCTGATACACGGAAATAGGTCAACTTGATGCTGACGTCCGGAAGGATATCACAAGATATGAACAAATGTTCATATCTTCAGGAACAGGAACAAGTGGACAGTGTCAAGTTGATACAGAAAATAAGTATTCCACAACACTGTTAATAGATAAGAATTGTCACATTCCTGTTCCGGACCCCACAAGTTCTGTTGCTTCCATCGCCCATAAGCACAAGACTGTTGGTTCCTCTTCAAAGGGATCATAAATGCCTTTAACCAGACTCTTTGGCGTGACTGAGAACAAAGGACCTTCATTCTTCATTAAATGTGAAAAAAAGGAGAAAAAAAGGAATCTGTGTATCTAATGTTTTCTGTCTTATTGCAAAGAATGTCATCTAATCCATTTTTCTTACAGAAAAGAACTAAAAAGACTATAAAAGATCTACTAAGTTTTGTTTAGTTAACTATTCAATAACTGTGTGGTGTTAATTGTTTTGATGAAATGTTTTCCTGAAGAAGTGTGTGTTTTATTCCATGATTTAATCCTTAGAAACTTAGGACGTGAATTTTAATAATTAAGTGTGACACTCTTATTTTACTGAGGCAAGCAGATGTCTCTCCTTTTTAATTAGATGCAAGATAATTAAAATAAACACTCCGATTTGTTAAACTTTTCCTGTATAAGGTGTAACATTTTTATTGGCCAACTAAAACCTTGACTCCGCCCATAATAGAGGTTTTAAAAAAGCTTAGCGCACTCCCAATCTCTMAGAAGACCAACAAGAAGAAGACRGACAGAGAAAGAGAGTTTTTCAACATCAGAAGCCAGAAACACTTTCCAGAAGCTCAGCAGAGGCCCTGCCTGCCAGCCCCTCCCCATGGGCTGGGCAGGATGGTGGTCCTTCTGCATCTCCCGCTGGTTGAACGAACAGCTACTGTTTAATATCGACTCAACACCTGAGTTTAATTTTATAGAAGTTAAATAAGCTAATTGTAATTCATGCGTCGTTTTAGTTCGTTTTTCTCTACAAAGTTGAAATCAAATTAAGAAGTCTTGCAGCTGCCTGGAAGGACCGGACCCCGCTGTCACCAGCTCACCACCCACCTTTCTGACTGAAGGGCCAGCAGCTGAACAGACACCCTGAGTGTCCGAC